TCTTTTTTTTAATATCTTGCCATAAGCTAAACAAAAATCAAATCTTCTAGAACACGGGTGTCAAACAAGCAATGTATTCCCCATTCATGGAACTGGGGTGGGCGTGGCCTGCATGTGACTGCCAATGCAATCCTAAATGGCAATAACAGAGGAATACAATCAAGATCAAGTGAGGTACTAATACCACTCTATAAAGCCTTAGTAAGACCACACCTAGAATACTGCATCCAGTTTGGGTCACCGCACTATAAAAAAAAGATGTTGAGACTCTAGAAAAAGTGCAGAGGAGAGCAACCAGGATGATTAGGGGACTGGAGACTACAACAAATTGGGTTTTGATAGGGGTTTTTAAATGATTTTAGTTGGGTGTTTTAAATTCGGCCACTGATTGAATTATTTTAATTAAGTTTTTAAATTTTTGTTGTATATTGTTTTTACCATGACTGTTCACCGCCCTGAGTCCTTCAGGAGAAGGGTGATATATAAATATAATAAACTAACTAACTAACATATGAAGAACGGTTGCAGGAACTGGGCATGGATAGTCTAATGAAGAGAAAGGCCAGGGGAGACATGATAGCAGTCTTCCAATATTTGAGGGGCTGCCACTGAGAGGGAAGGGGTCAAGCTATTTTCCAAAGCACCTGAAGGCCAGACGAGGAATAATGGATGGAAACTGACCAAGGAGAGATTCAACATAGAAATAAGGAGAAATTTTCTGACAGTGAGAACAATCAACTAACGGAACAGCTTGCCTTCAGAAGTTGTGGGAGATTTATCACTGGAGGCTTTCAGGAAGAGATTGGACTGCCATCTGTCAGAAATGGTGTAGGGTCTCCTGCTTGGGCGGGGGGTTGGACTAGATGACCTACAAGGTCCCTTCCAACTCTGTTAATCTAAAAAAATTTGCACATGTGACACATCCAGCCTGTGGGCTGCCAGTTTGACACCCCTGTTCTAGAATAAGCACAATGACTTACTCTGAATCATTTATTTCATTTTCCACGCATATATCCCTTAATTTCCTTTCATGTAAGTACACAGCAGAAGATATACAGACAGGAAGCAGAGAGTTAACACAAAAGGGAACTGTTTTGGCCAGCTGAAAATAAAGGAGAAATGTTCTAATTTGAAACACAGATAGAAGAAAAGGTAGGCAAGGAAACTAACCTAGCCCAAGTATTGGAACTACTGCTGCTTTCCTTCTCGGATTTCTACTAATTGTGTAGGTTAGATTTGCCCAGACAGAAGTAATTACATGCTTCCGATGGGGGGCTGTTATGTGGAGATAGAAACAAAAGCTATCTAATGTTGTCTCCTGGTGTTGAAATAGCCCTTTCCTCGGCTTAAGCTTATACCTTGTTCTGAAACGTCAGCATTGCTTTCAAAAAACAGGTCTCTGTTTAGAATCTGCAAGTGAAGGTCACATCTTAAAAAAAAAATCTCATAGTAAATTCTGAATCCAACACACAGTGGATGCCCAACTGCCCGATCCAATTCATAACTACAAGTTAAATCACCTGAGTACCAAAATATCCACATCTGTACCAAAAGGCAACTGGACTTTGTTTTTCCTTGAAGACGTTTCCCTTCTCATCCAAGAAGCTTCTTCAGTTCTGACTGAACGGTGGAGGATGGAAGGATTTATGATCAATTTGCCATCATTCAGTCAGAAGCTTCTTGGATGAGAAGTGAAATGTCTAAAAGGAAAAACAAAACAAAACAAAAAGTCCAGTTGCCTTTTGAAAAATGCACCTTTGAGACAACCATGACCTGGAGGACTGAGAATCTCCATAGACAATCTGATCTGTATGTGTAAACTGAGATAGAAAACTACAGATAAAGACCACATTACAAGTGATATGGATTATTCTAATCTTTCTTGCAATTTAATGTAAAGAATAAGGACGATGATCTTAACACAGATATACAGGATCTGTTATCAAGGCAAAAGTGAAGGAAATATTAGCTCCGATTCTTTAGCCTCCCTGTTCTGCCAACAGGTTTCCAAGGCTTTAAGGACTTTTCCCCCGTCACCTATGATCTGGCTGATTTTCTATACTGGAAATGCTTCAGCCTGAAATTGATACACGGATCCTTGACCTGCGAGCTTATACAGGTAGTCCTCAACTTACAACCATTTGCTTAGTGACCGTTCAAAGTTACAACAGCACTGAAAAAGAAATGATTTATGACAGTTTTTCACACTTCACACCTAGAAAGGTCACAGATGGTGATCACAGGACCCCAGGCTGCTGTAATCATCATAAATGGTTGCCAAGCAGGGTGGATTTGATTTAAATCAAGTTGATTTAAATCACAATTTAAATCATGATTTAAATCACTAGTAAAAAGGCTTGATTTAAATCAACTTGATTTAAATCATAATTTTTAAAGAGCAGCTGTCATCTCTGCTACTCCTCTGACCCACTGTTGACTCACCGATAGTCCCAGTGTTGCAGAATATACAGCCTCATGCTACATAACTAAGCTCCATTTCATGCTGAATAAACTAAATTATTTATGTATCTTAAATAGAAAACTATCTTACGATAGATTTTTACCCCAAAAGTTTTTTATTAAAATAAATTCGATAAAAATCAAAAAAATCCGATTTAAATCAAAAAAATCTGATTTTTTTTATTTTTTTAAAAAAAAATCATTGATTTTTATCCACCCTGTTGCCAAGCACCAAAAATTTTGATCACATGACTGTGGAGCTGTTGTGACAGTTGTTAAGTGTGATGACTGGTCATAAGTCATTTTTTTCAGCACTATTGTAACCTTGAATGTTGTTAAACGAATTGATATTGTTTCCTGATTGCTTATTTGTAACCTATGACTCATTAAGTGTTGTACCTTATGATTCTTGATGAATGTATTGTTTATGTACACTGAGAGCATATGCATCAAGACAAATTCCTTGTGTGTCCAATCGCACTTGGCCAATAAAAATTCAATTCAATTCAATTCAATTCAATTCAATTCAATTCAATTCAATCCTATCCTATCCTATCCTATCCTATCCTATCCTATCCTATCCTATCCTATCCTATCCTATCCAAAGTAAAGTCTACTTGTACTGGCATTAGGCAGATGATTTCTTTCAACCTCAATTTCCCTCCCTCTTAAATAAAAATTGAAGAAGGAAAAAGATATTGAGTTTTTTTGACTGCTACCAAATTGTTTACATGTTTCAACAGCACCTCTAAATTTGGGTGGCCAGATGTCACTGAGAAGTTCAAAATGACGAAAGAAGCCCATTTGCCCTTAGAATGTTTCTCAACCTTGGCAAATTTAAGACACCTGGACTTGAGCTCCTGTGCTGGCTGGGGAATTCTGGGAGTTGAAGACTACGTGTCTTAAACTTGCCAAGGTTGAGAAACATTGCCTAAGAACAGGGGTGGGCAATTGTGGCTCTTTTACAACCTGTGGACTTCAACTAGTTGAAGTCCACAGGTTGTAAAAGAGCCACAATTGCCCACCCCTGCCTTAGAATATATAAACCAGGGCCTCACAGGGCAATTAAGTGTTAGATGACATGAATTTATTAGTCAATAGTAGTAACTGTGAGAGGGATCTTGGAGTCTTAGTGGACAACCATTTAAATATGAGCCAGCGGTGTACAGCAGCTGCCAAAAAAGCCAACACAGTTCTAGGCTGCATAAACAGAGGGATAGAATCAAGATCACGTGAAGTGTTAATACCACTTTATAATGTACTTGGTAAGGCCACACTTGGAATACGGCATACAGTTTTGGTCGCCATGATATAAAAAAGATGTGGAGACTCTAGAAAGAGTCTCCAGTCCCATGATTAGGGGACTGGAGGCTAAAACATACGAAGAATGGTTCCAGGAACTGGGTATGTCTAGTTTAATGAAAAGAAGGACTAGGGGAGACTTGATAGTAGTATTCCAGTATCTCAGGGGCTGCCACAAAGAAGAAGGAGTCAAGCTATTCTCCAATAGCTATGCTGCACCTGAGGGCAGAACAAGAAGCAATGGGTGGAAACTAATCAAGGAGAGAAGCAACTTAGAACTAAGGAGAAATTTCCTGACAGTGAGAACAATTAATCAGTGGAACAACTTGCCTCCAGAAGTTGTGAATGCTCCAACACTGGAAGTTTTAAAGAAGATGTTGGATAACCATTTGTCTGAAGTGGTGTTTTCTGCCTAAGCAGGGGGTTGGACTAGATGACCTCCAAGGTCTCTTCCAACTCTGTTATTCTATTCTATTCCATTTCAAAAAGCCACCTAGTTGATCCTGAATACCAAAGACTGGCAACACATTCCATTAATTAATTACACCTTCTGCCAGGTAAATATTATTTTATTTTGGTCAAGTCCAGTATTAATTTACACTCATGGCATCAACAATTACTACAGCACCAACAATGACCATAACATCAGCCTGTACTGAAGAAAATACTTTCCCTCATCTCCACATTCATAAAGCCTCCATCTCTCCATAATGCACTTGTAAACATTATAGAACTCATGAAATAATGAATCTGAAACATTGGGACACTCACTCACTTCAGTGGCAGTTTCCCTGGGCTTGAAAGCAAAAGAAATTGGCAATTTTGCTTCTCCCATCAGGGTATATAGCCACTGGGAAACTGCATTCTCTGGAATGTTATTGAAAAAAAGAGGAAAAGCCATTTTTCCAATCCATCAGCAAAAAAAAAAAAAAAAAACCAACCCCAGCAGTTTTGGGCTATTGGCTTTTTCTACTAGCCAAAGAATCAAGAGCTACCAAGTGCTATTTTAAAAAAAGGACACTATCAAACAATGATAAAACAACCACAGTCGAGCTCAAGGGATCTGATTCCTGATAGCACGATGACTCTTCTCTTTTATTATCGACATGAGCCTTTCTGGGAGTCAATAACTGTCTGAGAAGCAAGATAAAAATACTGCAGTAAGTCTATAAATAATCCTACTCGTGGATGGGACATCGACATCCAACAAAGCTGGAAGGCACCTTAGGAAAGCATACCTGGTTCCTTTGGATGCTGTGTGCGCTGAGCTGGCCCCACCAATGGCTGCAGATTGCGATGCTGACCCTGCACTCTGCATGTTCAGTCTTGGCATCGATCTTGCTCCAGAGAGGGCTGGTTTATTGTAAGGCACAAAGCCCACCAGAGAAGCACCGAGTCCTGAGTTTCTATTGGCCCCTTGTATACCAGTAAGGAATTTGGGAGTCGTTCCTGATGAATGTCCAGGAAGATTCACCATTGAGTGCCGATACCGTGAGGTTATGGGGCCAGTTCCACTATTCAACAAGCACTGTTGGCATGAACAGGTGGGCCCACTGTGAGTAGGCCCTGGGGTTGTGGCTACTGGGTATGGAGAGTCCACACACCGACGGATTCTTCGCTGGTACCCAGTGGTTTTATTGATCTGGGTCTGTGATACAAAATCAATCCCATAATTGTAACCAAAGGGCCCAAGATCCACCTGAGGGCTACTGAGCGAGAAAGCTTGCTCCAAATAGACACAAACATTCATCTCGTAGGGAAACCAGCTTCCTTCGTCGTTCTGCCACTCCCAAACCACTCCCTGTCCAGGTGCCGAATCAAGCTGGAAGACATGTCTGTGTACGGCTCTCATGGTCCCTAAGAGGGAAAAATCACGACAAATCAAAAAAGATCATTAGACGCCAAAACTAAAAGCCGTAAAGGAAGGATTTTGCATAGCCCAGGAAACCGAGTATTAATTGCTGTGATATTTCTCATTCGCATTAGACTAGGACAGAGATGGCGAACATTTTCGGCACCAAGTGCCCACATCGGAACACACGTGCATGCGTGTGCGCCGGAAACCCGAAGACCAACTGGCCAGCGTGCTCAGCTGGTCTTTGAGTTCCCGGCACGTGCATGTATGCTGGCCAATTGGTCCAGGCATGTACCGGAGTACCGGAAACCCTAGGACCAGCTGGCCCATTTTTGCCCCCCCCCTTTTTTTTTTCCCATTTTCAGATCTTTTTTCAGCCATTTTCAGGGCTGTTTTTTGCCCCATTTTGGGGGGCTGTTTTGAAGCCATTTTTGGGCCAAAAACAGCCCAAAAAATGGCCTGGAAACAGCTTGGAAAAAAGCCTGAAAAAGAGTCTGTTTTTTGGCTGGGGGTTTTTTTTTGGCCGTTTCCAGCGCTCCGGCACTCACGAAGATCAGCTGGTCGGTGTGTATGTGCATGCCGTAAACCAGAAGAGCAGCTGGCGATGGCACGTGTGCCCATAGAGAGGGCTCTGCGTGCAACCTTTGGCCATCAAAGGACTAGGAGAAAAAAATAAGAACGCCAGGATACATTATTTGACCATTTTTGCAGCAGTCCGTCCAGTAGATCAGAGATAGAAAACTCTTTTGAATCACCAGCTATCTGATTATTTTTTCACAAGAAATGCCAGAAGTTCTACCAAGGAGCATTTCCATTCACGGCAGCGCCACTAAGTAGGATCCCTTCTTTGAGAATCAAGTTCAAAAGTTAAAGACCAGTTTAAAATTGGCCAACTTCCATTGTATTTGAATTGATCAGGCAATATGAAAATCAAAGGGTTTTACCTTGTTTTGCATAAAAAGCTAACTGCTTATCTATGTGTTATTTAAAAACACACAATATGACAATGCTCACTTTACTTTTCCCTCCTTCCTTTTTCCTTTGTGTCATGTTATTTATAGCTGGAGACTGAGGACAGGAACTGTCTTAACTGTGTAGCATATATTCATTTTTAAGCATTAAATATTGTCATAAATTAAACCAGTTTGGTGACATGGTTAAGGCATCAGGATATAAACTGGGAGGCCATGAATTCTAGTCCCAACCTAAGCACGAAGACGGCTTGGACAGGACTGTAGCCTTAAAAAACAAGCAGGGGCAAGTCACACCTGAAATCTTGCCAAGAAAACTGCAGGGACTTGCCTAGAAGTCAAGACTGATTGAAATGCACCAAAAAAGGCACCAAAACCTGCCACAAATAATTACATTATTCAGCATAAAGAACGTAGCCACTTTTCTTATATGGGTAGTCCTCAACTTACGACCACTGTTGAGCCCAAAATTTCCATTGTTAAGTGAGTTTTGCCTCATTTTACGACCTTTCTTGGCATAATTGTGATGTGAATCACTGCAGTTGTTAAGTGAGTAACAGGGTTGTTAAGTGAATCTGGTTTCCCCATTGACTTTGCTTGCCAGAAGACTGCAAAAAGGGATCACGTGACTCCAGGACATCATAAATACATGCCAGTTGCCAAGAATCATCATAAGTACAGGGCACTTGCCAAGAATCTTGATCATGTGACTACTGGTGTGCTGCAAGGATTGTATGGTCATAAGTCACTTTTTTCAATGCTGTTGTAACTTCTAACGGTCACTAAACGAATGGTCATAAGTCGAGGATTACTTCTATAAGCTACTCCTGTGGGGGATGGGAATGACATTGATTGGTGCAATGAACAGACAGGGGGACACAGACAGACGCCATCCGTGCCCCCCCACTTCCCTCATTTAGCCATTATCTTCATTGTTCTCAACTGAGACTCTTAAATGCTTAGAGCCCATTTCAAGATAAGCTGCTGCTTCCTTCTGTCTCGAGAAAGGTGGTTTCCTGTCATTTTTCTCTCACTTCCTATGAAGAGACCAGAATGCTTGGAAGCAGAATCCAGAGTTGTCTTTTTCACGGGGCGTATTTCAGATGATTTGTAGATGGTTGTTTTATTTTTTATAAAATCCATCTGATGTGCTGCAGAGGTTAATGGGCTGCATAAAAATAACTCCGAACTTATTCTATTTGTGGGAGGAGGGAGGAAGAAGCCTGCAAAAAACTAGAATTTTTTTTAAAAGAAATGCAGAATCTTTTAAGATTAGTTATCATTGGTATCCTTCATTGATATCCTGAAGATAGCTGTTGGCTGCCAGCTATTTTACGTTATTTAAACTATTACCATTGATCTACTCAGAAGACAGCTGTTTGAGAACAAGAATGGGTTCACATACCACGCATCAGCCAAGATTTGTTTAACAAGCCATAATTTACTCAGCGGGTACAATACTCTAAGTCAACAAACCCCACTGTAAACAAACACACACTAAGTCTGCCCTTATCATAAAGCTAGAGTTGTTTTGTGGGAGATACCATTCTCCTATATTTCGTAATAAAACCTGAGGCCAAGAAAATATTGGCAACCTAATAAATGAGATTTAATCCAGGTTTACAGCTCCTTCTCAGCACTTCAGACTGTGCCTAGAAGAGAATGCTCTACAAAAATTATTCTTAACCAAGCAACTTTACTGTATGGACTCCCAGAATTCCTTAGTCACCATTGAGAAACACTGCTCTCCATCATGATGGATGTGTCCGCTATTAAGCTATATCCATATGCAGATAATGCAGCTGCTTTTTACCTGTATCTTGCCGGAACTGGGTGAGACTCGGTAGGTCAATTATGTAGGGAGCCAGAGTTGAATCAGCTTGTCCCAAGGGTATGCTGCCATTGACAGGCCAGGTTCCCAGTGATCGCCGGCCTTTCACCATGAGAACCTGGAAAGACTGCTCAATGAAGCTGCACACGCTACTTCGGTATGGCCTCCACCTGCCAAACTCATCCTGCCACTCCCACACAGCCACTCCTGGATCCGTGAGGGATGGTGGAGGCCCAGCAGATGTACTTGGCAAAGTTGCCATTTTTGAATAGGTTTTGCCCACTTTAAAAAAGGTGGACAGGGATTTGGAAGTGGTGTTAATTCAGAATCCAATCGGTCATCTTCAGCAACGATACCTTGACAGACCTGTGGTGGAAAAGGAAAGGACGTTAATCGTGAGATATCAACCATCATTTCTCAGCTGTTAGCAGCTAACCTACAGTGCAAAAGTTGGATTAATATCACCTCTTCCAAGACAGATTCTATTTAGCCCTTTAATTCCTGAGCTACAGTCTGTTAATACAAATGATCTATCTAGGTCAGGGGTCTGCAGCCTTGAACGCTCAAAGAGCCATTTGGACCCGTTTCCCACAGAAAAGAAAACACTGGGAGCCACAAAACCCTTCCCGTGCCTGACTATTTCTTGAACGGCCCCAAAACTAGCATATGTAGTTGAATTAAACGTTCCGTTTTCTTCTGAAACTTTTCTTTTCTTGGATTTATCCATGGTTGGCCTACCCAGAGTTGAAAAGATCAATAAATTGCGTGCCAGGTGGGTGTCGCACTTTGGCAGTTGTGACGCATATTTTGAGTGACAGGGAGCCGCATCAGAGGGGTGAAAGAACCACATGCGGCTCCAGAGCTGTAGGTTGCTGACCCCTGATCTAGGTCTCTAGAGAGCTGTCTCTACAATGTCTGCTTGAATATACTTTCTACTTCTCTAGAAATCTGATTCTATTTCCACTGCTTGAACTTTACTTACAGCTAGAAAGTTTCCTTATCATTCAACCATAATCTCCGTTTCTGTAATTTAAGACCATTATTCTATTCCTGGAACATTAAGCAGATAAATCACTGCTGGGGAGAAAGGTGACTAAGTAGCAGTGAGAGAGAACTGGAAAGATAGATAGGTCTTTGCTTGCCACAGTTATTAAAATAACTAGCTATCCCTAGCACTAGGAGAAGTGTACCTACATAACTTTGAATGGCTGCTATATCGATGGTTGTAGGTTGAAAACTATGTGTAATTCTGATTCATTGGAGTCTTTAGTGGTGCAATAGCAATGTAATAGAGGTAGTCCTTGACTTAAAATAGTTAGTTTAGTGACCGTTCAAAGTTGCAACGGCACTGAAAAAAAGGGACCGATGACCATTTTTCACAGTTACGACCTTTGCAGCAGCCCCCAGGATCATGTGATCAAAATTCAGATGCTTGGCAATTGGTTCGTATTTATGACTGTTGCTGTGTCCTAAGGTCATATTCTTAGTCACATACTTCCTTACAATGACAAGAAGCTCTCATTCGGGAGTATAGTAAGATCCTGTTAAATTCCTCTCTACCCATTCATGGCTACATTCCTGATCTCTTAAGATGCTGATTAAAGTCAAGAAACCCACCACTCTTGACAGCGCTTAAGCTGCTGGCTGATCATCAGAACACCACACAAAAGTGGATGAAAGCGTGGAGTAGCTTTCCCCCCAAGAGGAGCATATTAATCCTAATAGCATACCTCTAGGATTTAATCTACCCCGACACATATGGGTGACATACAATAGAATTAGAACGACTCATGGGGTGTGTGTCGACTCCTTGTATAAATGGGGAAAGACACCTTCAGCACAATGCGATTGCAGGGGCCCCTGACAGACTACCCAACATATAGTGAGGGAATGCTCTAACAGAAGGTATCCAGGAGATTTTAGGGACTTCCTCTGCGTAACGACGACAGCTACTGACTCGATCTCCAAACTCGACATTAAACTCTGAAATGTTATTTCTGTTTTCCTCTTAGGGTTTCTTACTGCTCTTTTTCTAATTGTTTTAATTGTTTTAACCTGTAAAAATGAAATGTTTTAATATTGTGTGTGACCAGCCATACGCTAAAATAAATAAATAAAGTCATATACTGTAAATCCCCCTTTGTGATCTTCTGACAAGCAAAGTCAATGGAGAAATTTAACAACTGGGTTACTGACATAACAACTTCAGTGATTCACTTAACAACTGTGACAAGAAAGGTCGTAAAATGAGGCAAAACTCACTTAACAAATGTCTCATTTAACAACATAAATTTTGGGCTCAATTGTGATGGTAAATCAAGGATTACCTGTACAGGGCCACTTCTGAATGATTCAAATGCAACCAAGCAGTAATAATTGTTTTTAATTTAATCTGAGAAAATCCAGGGACACTTTTTAATATTCTAAAGAACTGGCAATGAAACTGCCACATCATATTCACGATGTATACCACAACATATGCCTAGTTTTGTGCACTGCTCTCTTCTATAGGCTGAAAGAGTTTAGTTTGCATTTTCTTAATAATCTTTCAACTCATAGATTTTACAGCATCCAGAAATTTTAAAGAATTATAGCTCAGTTATTTGCATAAAAATCTCCCTTGGCCCATTACAGCCAGAATTGGCACTGTACTCAATGATATCTAACAAACAAACTGAGCAAACAATCTATATTGCTTAATTATATTCAAATACTTGTTTGTTTGCTTTCTTCTATAGTAGCATTCAAAAAGCAACTCTAAAAATATTGATCTGCTCAAAAATACATAACATGCATAATACACTAAATCAATACAAATAAAATATATTATAGAATCATAGGACTGGAAGGGATCTCTTCTAATCCAGAGGCCTTATATTATTATTATTATTATTATTATTATTATTATTATTATTATTATTATTATATAATATAATATAATATAATATAATATAATATAATATAATATAATATAATAATATAATATAATAATAATATTTCTATGCTGCCCACTCTCCGAGGACTCTGGGCGGCTTACACCAAAGACAGTATACTAAATAGCATATTGCCCCCTAACAATCTGGGTCCTCATTTTACCCACCTCGGAAGGATGGAAGGCTGAGTCAACTTTGAACCGGTGAGATTTGATCTGCTGAACTAGAAGTCAGCTGAAGTAGCTGCAGTACTGCACACTAATCACTGCGCCACCTCAGCTCCTATCACCCCAACCAAATGGTTGTCCAATTTATTCTTGAAAATCTCCAGTGATGGAGCACCAGAGGTGGTATTCAGCAGGTCCTGACCAGTTCTGGAGAACCGGTAGCGGAAATTTTGAGTAGTTCGGAGAACCGGTAATTACCACCTCTGACTTGCCCTGCCCCCATCTATTCTCTGCCTCCTGAGTCCCAGCTGACTGGGAGGAAGTGGGGATTTTGCAGTAACCTTCCCCTGGAGTGGGGTGGGGTGGGAATGGAGATTTTACAGTATCCTTCCCCTGCCATGCCAAGCCAAGCCACGCCCGCCAAGCCATGCCCACAGAACCGGTAGTAAAAAAAATTGAATCCCACCAGTGTGGAGCACCTACAATTCCAGGAGGCAAGCTGTTCCATTGATTAACTGCTCTCACAGTCAGTGTGTTGTGTGATCTTAGCCTAGTTGGACTATCTCATAATGAGCATAAACAAACAAATCATGACAAACTTACAAATGGATCAATACAAAGCAGAAAGAAAATACTGCATTTTACAGTTTCCTCACTTGGTTGCCTAGAGGCAATGCCTGGTTATTGCAAATCAGGTGATGGCACAGTAATCTTTGCCTTACTTGCTCCCAGGGTGGATTTGATTTAAATCGAGTTGATTTAAATCACAATTTAAATCATGATTTAAATCACTAGTAAAAAGGCTTGATTTAAATCAACTCGATTTAAATCATAATTTTTAAAGAGGAACTGTCATCTCTGCTACTCCTTTGACCCACTGTTGACTCACCGATAGTCCCAGTGTTGCAGAATATACAGCCTCATGCTACATAACTAAGCTCCATTTCATGCTGAATAAACTAAATTGTTTATGTATCCTAAATGGAAAACTATCTTACGATAGATTTTTACCCCAAAAGTTTTTTATTAAAATAAATTCAATAAAAATCAAAAAAATCCGATTTAAATCAAAAAAATCCGATTTAAATAAAAAAATCTGATTTTTTAAATTTTTTTAAAAAAAATCATTGATTTTTATCCACCCTGCTTGCTCCAAGGTAATTCAGTATTACTATGCCTGTGGATTAATACTGTAACAACCTTATACATTATGAAGGTTTGGATATAAACCAATGGCTGAGGGATAACTGTATGCCATTTTAAAATCTATGAAAAACATCAACATTTATCCAAGATATTATCCTAAACCATAGTATAGTCTGAGTAGTTTTGGTTAAGCACATACTGTTGTAGTATATGAGTTGTTTTTGGTTTAAGAACCATTATTACACAAACCATTTCTTAGCACACTGTATGACTCAGTGTAATGCTTCACTACTTGAGTTCATCAAGTGATTCAAACTAAGTACCCAAATCAGTTCATTAAAATGACAATCCCTGAGGATTTTCCACAGGGATACCTAGCATTATAAAAGGTCAGGGAGTATTTGATTATTCATTGTACTTTATGAATAACCTGGGCAACAGATTCTTTCCGATTATTATCATTTTTATGATACATTACTCTTTGGAAATGAGTCCTGAAGCCTTCAAGAGAAACATGCACATTGCCCTGAATCCCATCAATACATACCTTGGAGTAGCAAGAACTGGGAAAATGTTGGCATGATATCCATCTTCTTTCCCATCTCTTACACAACATTATAAATATCTACATTTTTATATGAGCATAAGCAGGGGAATGAAGAGAATTCCGGCATTACCTGTGCTAAAAAGCTGATGGTAAAACAATTACCATCAGATTTTAACCACCCTAATGGTTCAGAGGAAAGACAGTCAAGTGGCCTATAACTATCAAGAAAAGCCACTTTTGAGCAAAGTCATAATCTTCGGCAGCAAATACTCAGAAAACAGTACCTCTAGGCATTGAGGTTATCTCATATATACATATATACTCTTTACTTTAGGAGAGGAAATCTGACACACATACATACTTCTTTTAATTATCAGCTAGGGTACACACTTGCACGTTTAAATAAAATCAAATAGTCTTGTAATAATGTATAGAAAACAATCAAAGAATATAGCTTAGGTTAGCTGATAAGATACCACGTGCTTGTTATTATGATCAAAAGCTTAATCAACTCCTTTTATTAAACAGAAAAGATACCCATTCTTACACAAACAGAGCTTCCTTCCTGGGAAGGAAAATGGTTTACCCTACAACAGATCTGGTTTCAAAAAAGGTCAAATTACAAAATATACAGTAGTTCCTTTTGGCTTAAGAGACAGCAAAACAACTGTCCAACCCAACTTCATAAGGTTGTGGGGAAAACAGGAGGCAGGAATATCAGCTGTGTTTGCTGCCTTGAGTTCACACACACTCACACATTAATGTGCGCACACAGTGACATTTTCTTAGAAAAATAAAAATAAAGGACAACTATGAAGAAGGGGCAAATCTAAAACCAGGCACATAAAGATAAAACTAATTGTTTATTACTTCAATTTACAAAGGAAAATTCAAGAACAAGCCCCAGAAAATAAGTAATTAACCTAAAGGACATAATAAAGGGCTGTTCTTTATAACATCAAATGATGCATGATTACTGTAGATAGATATATAGATAAAACTATAATCATCATCATCATGCCATCCCTCTTTTGGCCAGAGATAACAGTGTGAATTGGATTGCCATTAGACCAAGAAACCTGATCCAGCTATACATTTCCACTGACAGAGAAATGTAGAGTTCAGTTTCTTTCTTCTTTCTATGTTTCCTGGTTACTCCTATCATGATCAGCCTGGATTATCCCAGAGACAGGGACAAAAAAAAGAAAGAAAGAAAGAAGCCAATACCCTACTGCAAGGGGTCCTCAAACTTGGACAGCTTTAGGACTTGTGGACTTCAACTCACAGAATTCTCCAGCCAGCATAGCTGGCTGGAGAATTCTGAGAGTTGAAGTCCACAAGTCTTAAAGCTGCCAAGTTTGAAGACCTCTGCCCTACTGTCTTACACTTTGACAAGAAAGGCAGTGGTGTAACAAAAGCATACCCATTGCTGAGGATGGGGTGACCTAAATGCTACACGTAAACTCCCCCTCCAGCATGGAAAAAAAACCCGCCCCAACATTGCATTCATTTTTTAAAATTAATTTTACAACACCACAACACAACACAACATACAAAACAGAAACACACCATAGGTGTTTCTTTTTAGGTATCCCTTTCGTTCCTCTTACTTTCTACTTTCTACATTTCCCATTTTTCTCATCCTTTATTATCTTTACTATCATCCCTTTATTTACAGTTTTATTTATTTATTGGTTCGATTTATATGCGGCCCTTTTCCGGAGACTCAGGGCGGCTTACAATGTGTTAAGCAATAGCCTTCATACTTTTGTATATTTATACAAAGTCAGCTTATTGCCCCCACAATCCGGGTCCTCATTTTACCTACCTCGAAAGGATGGAAGGCTGAGTCAACCTTGAACCTGGTGAGATTTGAACTTGTACTAATTGCAGGCAGCTGGTGTTACTTAACAGTGCTTTAGTCTGCTGCGCCACCAAAGCTCTTTATTCATTTACAAGTATTTTACACATTTGTCACATCCTTTATTCACTTTTACTTTCCCTAATCTCGAGCCAATCGTTACCACTTAAGTGACCCTACTTGATAATATTCCCTCTTTCAACCATGCTGGCTGGGGAATTCTGGGAACTGAAGTCCACTCGTCTCCCCCAAGTTTGTCCAGGTTGAGAAACGCTGAGTTGAAGCAACTACGGGGGTGACCGTCAAAATATGAGCGAGAGGAAAGGGGGTAAATAATAAGGGACCCCTTTCTTCCCTCCCACCCGCCCCCGTTTCTTGGAATTAAGGCAACATGCGAGGCCAAAACAGCTCCCTTCCTTGCACCTCCATTGAAAAAGGTGGTTGAAAAGCTTTCACCAAGCTCCCCCTTCGGAAACTTATTCTACCCTCCCCCTCCTTGGAGAGAAATCCGCCATTAACATCCCACCCACCCCTCTAGCCGAGGTCTCACCTGGAGCGGCTTACCGGAAAAACACTCCAGAATGGAAAAAACGGCGGCTCTTTAACAAGTCCCGCATCGCCTCCTCCGGGTGACGGAAATGCGCACGCGTCAGTCGTATCCACCACCACCACCACCGCCACCTTCCTGCCCGACGCCCATGCTTGGGGACGTGGCGCGGAGCTTCACGGGAAATGTAGTCTTTCAGAGCCTACGGTTCCTCCTATTCCCCTCCGCCCGAAGTCGGGGCGGTCTTCTTGTCGCGGTGCATCTTGGGAGTGGCATGATAGACTGGATTGGCATGTCGACTTTGCCTTTTTTCTCTCTCTCTCTCCACAAATTTATATTGTACTGAGTTGATAAGCTTCTTTCAAAGCAAGTCGCCTCCTAGTGATTTCATGGAGGCATCGTTATACTGTAGTTTTCCTGGCAGTTGTGGAAGCAGTTTGAGGTGGTTTTTATTTCTTCCAAGAACCAGCCTGTAGTGTTGATATCATTTAGTGCAGAGGTCTTCAAACTTGGCAGCTTTAAGACTTGTGGACTTCAACTCACAGAATTCTCCAGCCAGCATAGCTGCCAAGTTTGGGGACCTCTGATTTAGTGGCTTCTCACCCAGGTGCTAACCATGACTGACCATACTTAGCTTTCCAAATTAACCAAGCTTATTTCCAAGCACCAAAATGTTCAGATTGCTTGTGGTTCAAACTTTAAATGGGTTGTGTAAACATAAGCTTTTTTTTTTTGGATGGAACATTAAATAATCTTATACTTGTGTAGGAAGTTAGCACCCACCCCTCTCCTAGAAGAATGAAATAATATAGGACATTTTAAAAAGGCAGAATATTATTGTGCAATTAAAGGAATAGCAAACCGAGAACCATCTATCGTCACACAAGAAGCTAATAAATGTGCTTAGAAATGTTTAAAGATAAACCTTTCACTGTCTCTTGAACTGCCAGCTGTCAGAATGTGATACAAACTTGTGCATTGGGAGAGTTTCATTTTCATCAGTAACCACTGAAATTTGAAGAAAATTATCCTTTGTTCTCAATATTTTGTCAAGAACCTCTGCTACATGCATTATAATCACTTTATTTAATCTATTATGCATTTATTTGAGTTACATTCCACCTTTCCAATTGTTGTTGTTGTTAGTTGCGAAGTCGCGTCTGACCCATTGTGACCCCATAGACAACGTTCCTCCAGGCTTTCCTGTCCTCTACCATCCTCTGGAGTCCATTTAAGCTCATGCTTACTGCTTCAGTGACTCCATCTAGCCACCACATTCTCTGTCGTCCTCTTCTTCTTTTGCCCTCAGTCTTTCCCAGCATTAGGCTCTTCTCCAGTGAGTCCAATTGTTAGTTCCGTTAAAAAACATAGGAAGGCATGAGCCATGAAGTTGGACTGTGGAGTCCTTGGTGTTCGCTAAAGCTTGCAAATATTTCATTACCTGACTAGATACTACAATCAGTGTTGGTAGGTGTTGAATTTGCTCGCTGATGATATACAATAGCTTGCCCTGGCAGTATTGCATGTATAAGTTCAACCATGAACTACATATATTCTCTTATATTGAAAGCTGGTACTGGTTTAAACTACAGTAACAGCAGCTTGTAGCAGCTCTAAAGATTGGGGAGAAGGGAGATAAATTCATATTACCACGTACTTCTTACATTAATTACGTTAATTTTGTTGTATATTCTCTGTTGTAGTCAGTGTTGGAATAGACAGAGTGGATATAAACTTCAGCAATAAAGATAACATGTAAAGTGATGGAGAATATGCTTGATGTGCAGAACACCACAAGACCCAGGTTCAGTTTTCAGATTAGGACAGGAAAACCATATGATATCTGGGTAACAGTAATCACAGATATCTGCGGGATCCACCATTTTTATAAAAAAAAATTAAAAGTCACATTGTGCCATTGCAAGAAAAGCTCCACCCCTTTTATCTATGCATGCAACCACATGAAGCACATACCAGAGGAAAATAGCCTTCACTATTTTCCTTTGCTTTCCTCCCTTTGTGGACCCCACTTGTAGTAGGCAGTCAGGGCAGACGGTGTCTGCTTGATGGAGCAATAATTTCCTTCGATGTGAGGCAATTTTTCTTCTTCCTGAAACTCCTTCACATATCCTTTTTCATTTTTTAATATGGCTTACAGGAGCACCACAAACTGCACGTAGACTACACTTGGCAGGGAAAAATGCCACAAGGACTGGAGAAAGGTGGGGGGAAGAGTGGGAAAGATTGACCTTATTAACAAACTAGAAGTGTATTTTGGCTTTCTGCAATGTCACATAACTGGCAGCTATGCCAAAACCAGTGGAAATATTCAGGATTTCACGAGCAGGAAAAAAGAAAGTAAAATTTAAGCAGGAATTTGTCATCTCCCTGTGACATCCATTCTGGTTAAGAAAAGCCACTTGGCCTACCCAAGCCACAGGAAGTATTTTTTTGAGAAATAACGCTTTTATTTAGGATGTCTCTCTTCTTAACTTTTTTTCATCCTGCTGTAGAACTGGGACAGAACATAAAGTTGAACGGCTAGAATAGCCTAATTCTATGCTAATCCAATTCACAGATGACATTGTGATAGTCACTGCTAGAAATAATTATTTTACAATAACAAGGAAAGCATGGAGAACATGGCTTCTAGAAAATTTCTGACCCCTTAATAATAGGTCTACTGTATGAATGAAGCATGTTAAGACAAGTGGTGGGTTGCTACCGGTTCACCCCAGATTGAGCGAACTGGTAGCGGCGGGGGTGGGAGGCTTCGCCCGCCCGGACATCTCTGCGCATGTGCAGAAGCATCGTGCGCGGCCACGAGAGAACTGGTAGCAAATGAAATTGAAACCCACTACTGGTTTAGACAGGAGGTATTGGCTACTGCCTGATTCTTTTATAGGGAGATATATTGGGGGGGGGGGTTTGTTCCTTAGATTTTTTTCTCTCTCCACTAGGTAGGTTTCTCCTGCCTTCCATTGAGGTGCCAACAGTGCAAAGGCCATGTGTCCCAAAACTTCACTAAGTGTAAGATCTAAAGTGGCAGTTGGGTTGGCAACCTTTTTCTGCTTAGGAAATGGAGGCCATGCTACTGCTGCCATTTTGTCCTCCTTCTCCACTTCATGGCTTAGTGCTAGGCAGAGGACTAGTGCAATTGGTGCAAATTACAGCAAACTGCCTGGCAGGGGAAGGATACTGTAAAATCTCCATTCCCTCCCCAATCCAGGGGAAGGTCATTGCAAAATCCCTATTTCCTCCCAATCAGCTGGGATTCGGGAGGCAGAGAATAGATGGGGGCGGGCCTAGTCAGAATTTTTACTACCGGTTCTCTGAACTACTCAAAATTTCTGCTCACCGGTTCTCCAGAACTGGTCAGAACCTGCTGAAACCCACCTCTGGCGCAGTGTCCATGATGACATCCGGGCGGGTGGGCGGAGCCTCCCACCACCGCCACTACTGGTTCACCTGAACCGGGGCGAATCGGTAGAAACCCACCACTGCCTGTGCTGTAGGCCCTGCACTGGTTCCCAATTGGTTTTCAGTTGCAATTTAATGTCCCATGTGATTTGGTGCTTTCCCAAACAGCTTCCTACAATCAAAGTCAATGAGGGAAGCCAAATTTGCTTAACAACTGTATGATTCAGTTAACAACTATAGCAAAAATGGGTGGAACCCACTTAATAACCAAACAAATTCTTAGCAACAGAAATTCTGCTCCCAAATGTAGTTATAAGTCAAGGTTGGCATATTTATTACACTATTTAATCAACAGTTACATAGTAAAGAAAAAGGTTACAGAAAATGTTTAAATCCTATTTGCCACTATTGCAATGTTTAACTTCTTGTCTCTTTCTATTTTACCTGTCATAGAGGCAAGCAAGCTAAGTGAAACAAAATAAACTCCCAAATGAAAATGGGAGATCTCTCTCTCTCTCTCTGCTCTCTCTTTTTTTTTTTACTGGCATGAGATTGGTATGCAAGAAATTCCAGCCAAGTTGGTTGTAGCCAAATGATCATTAATAACTTCCTCCCAATTTAGATTTTCTTCCTGTTTAAAAAAGACGCCTCCACCCAAAACAGCAGCAGCAGCACCATCAGCAACATATTTTTCTCCAAAGAATTTCTAATCTGGTATTCACTTTCTATCAATATCTTTGAGAAAACACCTCTTGCATTTCTTTTGCCCTCTCTGGAAATTTGACCCATTCATCAGAGAATTATGTACCTTCAGAGATGTCTCCGCTGAAATATTTCCCAATCACTGCCTCTTTGCTTATGGTTATGGGTTTTTTTTTGGAAAAACTAAATGAAGATGTCTTCCTGCATAAAGAGAACGATTGCCATACAATTTAATTTTAAGCCTTAATTACCTGCTTTACCAGCTCCAAAAATATATATATACACATAACACAAGGTTACTGCAATGATAGATTGGAATTAAGCAATTAATAGATGAGACTTTTTCCTCCATGCTTCTTCAGAATTTGCAAAGAAAGAAAAAGGACAAAGAAAAAGGGGTTGGTTTCCTTGGCATACAGATTGCCCTTCAATTTTTAAAGAATATATTTTTATGAGTTGCTTTTTTCCCCTTCAACCTTCATAGATTTTGGGATGTAACCCTGATTTTGTTTCAACAGTGGAAAACAGAATAGCAAACAGGTAGGTGATCTTTACAACTCCTTTTTCTTTCGATATTTGCAACATTTGTGGAAATACCATCTTATATAATTTAAGAAAACATAGCCACTCTGCATGTCCTAAGTACAAGGTATCTCTATTGTTAGAATTGGACATTAAAAGGAATAGAACTGATGTGCAATATTTAGCATTGGTATTAATTTTCCATACTTTTGGACTATATTTTACTTTTCTAAAACTATTTTAAAGATAATAATTGCAAATAAACAAGTATTGAAAATACACTAGTGACATTTCATCCTAAGAAAATATTGTTCACTTGTGAAATAATTTGTCACTGGGGATGACACTTAACAGGTCAATCTTAACAAAGTGTGTGCCATGATGGAAAATTTATCCTGTACTGCACTTGATCCCAACAAAGCAATTCTCACTTTCCAATAGTTACCATAGTTGAATA